TTGATAAGTAGAACTTGTTGATGTGATTATTATGATACTTGCGGTTATTGAACAAGGATATGACATCATTTTGAATAACATCAGTAGGGAATGAATATATAGCAAGAGTGATTGCTTAACTACCCAATATATAATTGCTTCCCTAGAATATCGGTCTGCTAGCCTCTTGTTTGTATAGAGGTTATTTAAAGGAAGTTAATAAAATTCAATTGAAATTAAAATATTTTCCTTGCAAATAACCAATGTAAACACATGAATTTGTAGTTAAGTTTTTGCTCTCTTTGTTATTTTCTGCTTTTAAAATGTTTTTGTAGATAAGAACTGAACCACTTTGGAAATCAGTACTATGTATTGAAAGTGTATATTCAGTATAAAGAAAGAATAAATAAATAATCATCATCATGATCATCATATCAGCTGTTGTTGGCCCATTATAGGGCAAAGGCCTTGCATGCTTAAACCATACTTCTCATCCACGACATGCCAGCTAATTCTACAATTTCATGACTTTAATGTCATTGATTTCATTTAAGTTTTAATTGCTATAGTAGTTGTATGGTTAAGCTTGTACTTATGGGGGACATTCGCTTTGTTCGTTTGAGAATTCTTAACAACTTAAACAATTTTATTACATTATCATTTCAATGCTTTGTATTTTTGAGGGGATTTCCAGACTTAATACCACAATCTTTAAGAGCTCATTCCATTTATAATGTATGCAAATTCAATTTCAGTCTTCTGTACCTGGTGTAGACAAATTTTTTAGGAAACCCACAATCGCCCACGGTGCAACTTCACTGATTACATCAGAAGTTGCACAGGCTAGCAGAGAAGTGATGCAACATGGGGTTGGAGAGGGAAACAGTTAACCGTTCCTATATTAATGTGTTCATAAAAATCTGTTTTTTCATCACAAATATATTTGACTACCTGTAAGTTTTAATGTTAGAGGAACAATATGGGGTTTCACAGTTGTAGAAACATACTGTAGAGCCCATTCACACTTAGTAGTTACGTTGGCTCAGAGCCGCCTCATGACCACCTTTTTTCAAGTGTGAACAATCAATAAATTTTAAGCCAGCCCACAGCTGACCTAAATTTAGTCCGCTCCATTTGGGCCCTGGGCCGACTCATCTTCATCTGAATGTAGACCAAACCTGAGTTGCCAAGGTCGCTTTGGTCTATTTTGACATCTTATATCATTACATTTCACACAAAAACCCGGCTTAAAGGAGGAAGTGTGAACGTTAGCAGTGTGACCCTGAGCCGACTTAAAATAATAGCCGCAAATGGAACGATCATTTAAGAGGGCTATAGTTATGGTGGCTTTGGGCAGATGTAATAAGCTCATAGTTAGTAAGTAATAGGCTCATAGTTAGGTCTAGGAACTAATTCTGTTGCCGGAAATGGTAGTAGATATATGTCAAACAAATTAGACTTCTGCATAGTTATATACAGTAGTATATGCCCTAGGCATAGACATGATGTGAAAAATACTTCATATCCTTTGTATTATTGCATCCTATATATTAGCAACATATTTTTTGTCATTTCAAACAGAAAAAGATGTATTTTTCCCTTGATTTTTTTTTGTATTACTAGGAAGTTGATATTATTTGTCCTTTCTTAGTCATGTTTTACTTCTAATATCAATGCACCAGCAAACAACCCAAGGATGATATTTGACTTTAGCAGTAAAAGTTAAAATAAAAATCCTCCCTCCCTTATCACATTTCCATTCCAGATAGGGTGATGAAAAATGAATATTGTGATAAGCTATGATTATTTTTTATAGGGCCTAACAAACCCTCTTTGTTCCATCATTCAATGTTTCACCTACAATTATTGTTCAATCATTACATACTGTATGTTTCCCTGCAATTATCCTTCTTTCATTATTGTCACTGTTGAACTTGGTGACATGCTACCAATATAGTAAAAGTAGGCTAAGCACCTACTGGCATTCTGTTCTCCTGAGTCAGATCCTTAGATTTGAATACAGTATTAGCCAAATACATCGCCTACATTATGACCTTGTTTGAATGTATCATTGTAATTTGTAATAATACAGTTGATTGAAATGGTTTTTACAGGGGAAACATTCGTGGCTATATGGATTTTATCAATATCCTTTTTTGTAGGAATGAGTGTTAGCAACCAATGATGACTTTAACCATATTCTACTAGACAATAATCTTTGGGGGTTTTTTCCGGTTGCCCTGGAAAGTGCTGGACTTTATGATGACTTTATCATGAGAATTCTCATTCAGTATGTTGGTTTTGTTTTCCAGAAGATTTTGTAGTTTAAACCCAATTTTCCCCATTTAATATTGTAATTCATTGGTATTTGTGCTTTACATAGAGATGATGACGTGTGTATTAATATTTTATTAATTATTTTTTTAACTTCTTTTTATATTAAAATGTTTTAATTTGATTCATCAAATATACAAAATAATTTAAAATACTACAAAATGGTACATGTGAATCACAGAGAAGCTGAAAACATTGGTTCTCAGCGAGCTGTAAAAAATAGTGAATAGCCATCTATATAAATCTGCACTCAGTGAATATTATTGCCATATATTCACATGAATACATTTTAAATAATATGATTTTACTTTTGATTTGAATTCTCTTAATATTAATAATTTTAATAAATTCTATTAAATTTTCATAGTTTTATCATAATTCCATATGAATTTGTTCAAAGATATTAATTATGATTTTACCTTAATTTTAGCGGGATCTTAAATGAAAATGTCAATAGGCAAATTGTTTCTTTCCTTCTTTTCTCCCTTTTACTGTAATTTTCAATACTGTACATTTAGTAAGAAAATATACTGTTATATACATAATATATCGTTACTGATAAAATCATTCAAATTTAAGTGTTTTGATTGAACAGATGCTCACTAATTGAAACAATATAGTAATTATCATGATAAAAAAGTTTGACTAATTAAGACACAGCCATTATGAATGGCAAGTGAGAATCAGTTGAAAATTGTATTCAATATTAGTATAGTAATTGGTTTACACTAAATTCTGTTTCCATTTGATCTCAGAGGGAAATATTTCAGTACAGTATTCTATATCCTTCGGCATAAACATTTTAGAACAACATTTAGCTTTCTTGATGGTTTGCAATTCCTATCCAATGGCAGTTCAACAAGTTTTGGGTTCATTAAAGCAATGAAATTTATTTTTTAATAAATATTTTCATTTGTTTATTTTAATTTAATATTTTTAATTTTATTTTTTCCTTAACTTTTTATTTAATATTATTATCTATTATTATTTATTTTTATTATTAATTACAGTAGTTCAATTATTTAGCATTTGCTTCCTACCAAAACTTAATATTAACGATGGTCATTTATATAGCGTGTTTTCCTTGTGGTTAGCAAGCACCTCACACACTAGTTTCAGTTGCTTGAACAAGTAGAGAAATAGGCAGACAAGAAAGAAGAAAAGTAAAGGAAACAACATAAAACAAACTAAACACCAAAATCTGCATGTATTATGGAGAGTAAGTGATTGTATGACTCAGATAGAGGAGCAGTCCTTAAAAACATAATTTGCTTAGAACAGGGAGATGTAAAAAATCTCCCTGCTTACTGTAGGATTCAGTTTGAATATTCAAAATTACTGGGCAGGAAAAGGATGTATTTTGCTTGTAAAGAAAATTGGTTTCTACTGTAGGAGTGGTACTTTCAAAGAAGTATTTCCTGTGGCATAATTTAATAGGGGGCTTAAATCTTAAATAAATCCTTTTTAGTAGTTGACCTGATGTTAGCATTTTTTAATGTATAGAATTTTAAAATTTTAAAATTAAAATTAAGCCATGTCGCACCTAGTGTTTAGCTACCGGTGTTCCTGCCAACAGTGTAGGCCGGGGTGTCAGAGCACGGCTGGCTGAGAATGGTCAACGTGTGGTTCAAAAAAGTTCAGAACCAAAATGGACAATGCTGTTCCAAACTGGGCTTTGAAGTGTCAGTTATTGAAGAAAATGCTCATCCTCGTTTTAAGTGCCCATAGCATGAGGCTTGCCAGATACTGGCATTAATATCCATTGTGCATTATTTATTTTATTTTTCTTAACTCTCATACATTTATAAAAACAAAAGTTGGATTCAATCATTAGATAGGGACATCCAAAATCATGAATGACATTGTCTACACTTGTACATGCAACATTTCTGAATATTAATATAATCGGGTGTTCATTTTAATGGGCAACCTTATATTTACAGATTACAATTTAAATTGTATTACCTGTATGTGAAAACCATCTGGCTGATTCATTTAGCTCACTCTCGCATTTCGCATCTCGCATCCCGCGTTTTCTTTCTTCGAAGCAGTAACTACTGTATTTTTTAATTGGTCTCCTAATGAACCATGGCAAGAATCTTGTCTACTTCAGATAGTTAACTCATGATATTTTAAAAATGTGTAGACATTTGTCATTTTAATTTGATTAGCTTTTTAACATAACACTATTTTGATCTTCTATCATGTATGGACAAGATGAGCTAATATTTTCAAAAAAATCAAATATCTGAATTTTTTTTTATTTTTTTTTTAAATTAAAAATTACAAGAACTCATTAACAAATATGAATAGTTACAGTGTAGTTTCCTTTTTGTGTTGAAAAATAATACATCAATCAATCAATCAATTCTTTATTCTTAAAAAATGTTTTCTTAACAACGATAACAAATTTAAGAATAAATATTTTATTACAATATATTGGAATACAGTAGAAAGTCTATAACGCAGCAAAAACTTAATTGTTTACATTTGTGTCCCATTCCTAAGGTGAGACATTATACCTTGTTTAGCGAAAACCCGCCGCCCACCAATAATGGATGATTTTGAATAAAAATAATAATGTAATTTTATATTACCTATGGAGAACTGGCAAAAACAAAATTATCTTGTATCGTTTATGAAAGGAATATATTAGTCAAGATGATTCTATTTTTTTCTCTCCGTAGCTACAACATGTGTTTACTGGTATCACAAGTTTACACAACCATACCGGTCCAGTATTATTACTTGAAGAGGACCACTATGTATCTCCTGATTTTCTACCTGTACTCAGGCAGATGTATGGCATAAAGCAAAGGTTTGTTCACAATTATCTGTAGAAAAAAAAAATTATGTAATTCCAATTCCAAGCAGAAACACAGGATTTTGAAACAGTGAGGAAATGGGAAGTAACTTTCCGGAAAATGTATCCCAAAACCTAACCTATAAATTACAGGGTTCGTATGCGTCCTTAAATTCCTTGAATGTCCTGGAAAAACAAATGAGCATTTTCCAGTACTGGAATGTCCTGGAAATTTGATCATTTACTATTAATTGCAGTACTACAAGTTTCCTAGTAACAACATAGAGAAAATAGAACATGGTAACAGTAACTGAATGAGAAACGTTCCCACAAGTGGTTCCCACAATTATCTTGAGAGAATCAGGTCAAGTCTTTGTACGCCGCCAATTCAGGGATGTTATCAAAGACAGAAAGAATGTCATTGCTGAAAATGGCCGATTGGCTGGTTTAGACAAACTTGTGCAATTCAGTGAATGGAGTTGTTCGCCTATGTTTTAGTGAAGGCGGTGCTTTTTTTAAAAATCTTGTATTTTAATAATGTTTGCGTTTAATTTTAATTCAGACATTGATAATCATAATCGTTAACTTTGCTATGGTGTTATTTGCTTTCTGTCCTGTGTTATAAACAGTACTGAAATATTAAAGCGAATTCACCGGGCTGAGTATCCGTGCGACAAGACCTGTTCAACTTTCAATCAGTTAACAGGTCTTGTCGCACGTGCTCAGCTCGGTGAATTCACTTTGAATAATTCATCACTCTTCAGACGCGCACACATGTTCAGCACGAATGGCCATGTTTTGGCCCTATCCAGCGCAAGGCAGTTAATTAACAATTAAAGTAACCATGGGAACGTGTACTTCTACGGTTATTTTCTTAGTGAATGGCGTTTAAAGGGCATTTACTGTTTGAAAAAAAAATGCTGGTCGGCAGCAGATCAGTGCCGGTATTTTGCTGTAGATTACATTATAAAAGTTGTAGGCCTACAACTAAAGACTAATAATAATAGACCTAAATATTAATAATAATGTTAGGCTTAATAGTAATGAATAATAATAAATAATACAGTATAGTATAATGATGTGTTAAGAATAGAGCATAACCATTAAATAATTAATATTCTATGTACATCATTCGTTTATACAACTTTATAAACACCTAAATATATATGAAATGAGATGCATTAACGTCTCCGCAACATACACCCATCGAAGGCTATACTGTATTGTTTTACTGATACGGTACATGTCAACTTCGCAACAGCTGTTCGCTGAACAACAACCCTGGGCTGTCGGTAACCCACCCCGCGGTGCCACAAAAGAACCGAGTTATTCGTGCGCGCCGGTACCACAAAAGACACTCACGTTCAAGCAAAGATAAGACCATTGTTGTATGCGCACATTTACATTGCCGAGTGGAGAATTCACTGTAGGCGATCAACCCTGCCTTACTTACCATACTCGTGGGAATTCCTTTGCTTACCATCAAATTTTACACGTGTGAGAAAAACTTCATTTCCCACGAGCGTGAGAAAAAGAGACAGGTCCATCGCCTCCGAATTAGAGTTTGATAAAACTTAATATACACTAAACTAACATGCATTTAAAAGTAGTACAGCATATATGTTTTATAATCAGTCTTAAAATCACCGATATTTATTTATACTGTTAAGCTATATATTGTGTCCTTGAAAGTTGGAAAATTTGACCTTGAATGTCCTGGAATTGTCCTGGAAATTTGCTTGCTTAAAAATGTACAAACCCTGAAATTAGCTAAGATACAAAAACAGGAACACCAAAGGAAAGTCGCATCACCGCTTTGTTACTAGCAATAGTCATATTCCACTAGGTTGGTCATATGACGTATAGTCGGTATAAATTGTTAAAGAGACAACGCCAGTGACTACAATTCTGAGTGATGCTCAGTAATAGGAAAATGAGTGGCTTTGGGGTATTCAAATTTTTGATGTTGAATAATTTGGTTGAAATGCCAGTTAATTATACCAAGTTGATAGGAAATTGAACTTTATATTTTTGCCATGCAATGGTTTGCGAATGTTCCAAAAGATATTGTTCCCGAACGTTGAGATTTTTAGAGAAATGCTAGGCCTAGGACCCTGCATATCTACAAGATGTTACATATCTGCAGCCTGTTTGGTTATGCACAAGAGTCTGTGATCCTCAAACTGTGATTTTAACATGCTACAATTTCTAGGCTAGCTAAGGTTTACGAGGCTTTCACATGAATTTCAAAGCTACATACTGTAGAAGCATAGAAGCTACAGTAAATAAATACTGCATTGCCTTTTACTTGCCATTTATTTCTCGCGTAACAGTGGGTGGTTTTTTTCGCAACCATATCTTCCTATACTTTCACACTGATCAAACTGTAAGTTCTTCATAGTTACATCAACTATATGGCACATGACTGGTTGTAAACAAACCTCACGGGATGTGTCTATTTGAAACCACCAAAAATAAGGGACCGCCAGCAAATCTTGCTTTACGGCATCTTTTAGGGTGAAAACGAATGAAGCTTAGACATTAAAGGCCTGTGGGCTTAAGGCATTTTTTCCCCAAAAGCATCTTTGGCTTCTATTTTCTGTTGTATCCTTTGCAACTAGACTGTAATTGCATAATGTAAAGTCGGTCAGCATAAAATATAAGGTATTGATTCTTTTCTGAATAATGAATTCAACTTCAGTATTCTTCATTAGCCATTGAAATAGTTAAATTTTTTATGAAACTGTGCAGAATACAAACATATATAATTTTTTTTTAAATACTGTACATCTTTAACATATGGATATTGGGTATAAATATAAAATCAATCACTGGAATTACATAATCGCAACCAGTCAAGAAATTAACCTCCTTCCCAAAACATAATTTAGAAAAATTATTAAAGAATACCCAGGGAATTATTTAAAAAATTTGGCTTAGGAGTAGCAATACCTGTACAATCTAGGATTTCGTGGGGTTGTGTGGGGGTGGGGGAGGGGGCTGAAACCAATAATTTATCGGAATGGTCAAGTAAGGAGCACTAGCAGCAGTGGCAAAAGAAAGGGGGCAAGAGGCCTTAATTGAAACATCTTGTATTTTATTTTTTTCTTATTTCAATATATGGCAATGTTATATATTGATATTTTAAAATGTAGTGGCAAACCGGGGTATTGTGTGCTTCCAATGCACCCCCTCCCCCTTTATTAGATCCTTCCCTGAATCTGAATGTTATTGTTATTACATTATTATTATTCTCATAATGATTATTCTAGCATTATACTATTAGTTTATATATTTGTATTTATATCAATATTATTTTCATTTCAATAATGTTTGTATACTCAGTATTTGATGAGTGGCTTATGTTTTATTTTAATTTATAGTAAGTGTCCAGAATGTGATATTCTTACTATTGGAACTTACGACAAGAGCCCTCGTTATCGGGACCGAGCAAACAAGGTAAAGTGTATAATTTAGTCTTACTGTAGTGCTTTTATTGTTCTTTTGAAAGAGTATGTTTCATAAAACAAAGAATCAAAGCAATTACAGTCTTGGTCATTTAATTCGTATCAGCAAACCTCCTTCGCTATTCCGGGTCGTTCATTATCGTAGTACTCATGTAGTGTCAGTGCATTGCACAAACACACACATCCTACAAGTAAGCTGGGTGTGTGATTATGTTTTAAATTTTGAATTCATTTATTCAATCTTCGGTATTTATCTTTTCAAAGAAAATTCAGAACGCCCCCAACATTAAAGGGAGCAAACATATAAACTGACGGGCACATGAAGATTAAATGTAAATAATTAGTAAGAGTGGCAAGAGATTTCCAAAAGTGAGTTGCTCACTTTAATGGTAGTCACGTTAAATGGTAGTCACGTTCACAGTCACACAACAGTCACGTAAAGATGACAGACTGTGTACAGGTTAGTAAACACAAGACAGAATCCTCTACTTCTTTTTATAGTTTAATCAGTCATTTACCATGAGTCATTTATGCAAATGAGACCAACAGCTTAACCTTCAGTGCGTTGGACGAGGTAACAGTGCATGTCCAAGAACTTCAATTTCAAAGCAATAAATAACTGTGACTTTGAATAAACATTTTTTCTCTTATATCGTATATTTTAACTGAAAATTCACAAGAATTCTGAGCATTTTCTCATGGGAAATTGATGGGGAATGTCAGAATCTGAGAGAGGATTATGCTGGCTACACAATGTGTATGCCGTAAAACTTAATCAACACATTGGAAACTTTACTGGTCCTTACCTCATCGTAGGCAGTAATATGATATTTCTCAAGATCGCACATTTTCTACAGAGAATATGTTTCAAAAATTATCACTGCAATTTGTAATTTTACGTATATATTCTACTGTAAGTAATATTGTTCGGTGATTTTAGTACATGTACTTCCCTTCAAGGCCGTTATGAGGATTGCCATTTGGATTGGGGGTAGGATACGGGGGTGTGCAAAGATGGACCAACTGAGATCAGAGGGGAAGAACCGATTGAATAACAGCTTCGATTTGTTGTTTATTAGTATCTTTAATGCCCAAATACTGGCCTAACGATTACCGGTTGAAATGTAAAGATATAAGTTCCTCTTTTTTTCTTTATTACAATTATTATCTGTTCCCTAAATTCAGTGCATTCTCGACTGTCTTAAAAATATGGAACTTTTCCATTTTCTTTATAGGGGTGGGAATGGTGGGTAAGCATCGCACACCTATATATGCTTTTCCTTATAGGTGCAGTGTATGATAGATGTACAGCAAAATATGTGAAATGTTTTGATTATTATTTTATTGTATTTTATTTGACTTTTCACTAGAATCAATACAATAAAAATATATATAATAGAAAAAAAAATTCCAGTGGGAGAGCGTATCAACAGGTGTAAGCAGCTCTAACACAACACGTTCTCCAAATTCACAAAAAACCAACGGCAAATATATATGTCAAAAAAATTAAAAATTATTGTTGTGTGTTTTTGTTTAAATTAAATTTTTATTTTTTTGGCACAGATCTTTCAAAAATTTACCACAGTACAGAAAATATATCAATAATATAATAATTCTGTAATAATAACTTGAGTAAGACTGAACGACACAACTATAAACAAATAATATCAATACATTTATAGCAATACTTTACTTTGATGTGGTAAGGCTATATTGTGTACTGAAATATGTGTAACATTTTTCTTGGCAAAACTTTTGACATTGTTCTCATTATGTCTCTTTTTATTGCAGGTGGATGTTCTAAATTGGCAGTCATCCAAACACAACATGGGCATGTCAATAGATAGGGCCACATGGCAGAGGCTTCAACCATGTGCTGAGGTAGTTTACAAGATAAATAAATGCTGGCTCAAATTATATTTTATACCCTAGTGTTACATTTGAAGTGCCATTTCCACAAGTTTACATCATTTTTATCTTTAACCTGTGCTTATTTTTGTATGCCTTGTAAAAATATAAACATGCTGTGGTCTTCATACTGTCAGTGATGTCAGTGTAGGTCTGTCACGCCAAAATTGGTCCGGGCCAAAAAAAGATCAGGCTGACAGATTTTGTGCCACCAAAATTGGTCTGCCAGACTACTTTTGGCCGGTAAAATCGGTCCACCAGGTCGATTTTAGCTGCTAAAGCTGGTCCCACTTCGATAAACAGACCAACATGATTTACGATCATATCGTTTAACTTCTTTTCTAACTTTTACACTAAAGAGTTTATTGGGCGTGAACATTAATTTTGGTGGCTGTATACTAAATTGTATAATAAGAGATGAGATATTTACCTATCATTTGATTAAAAACAAATATGAACAACGATAAACAAATACAGGTCATAACTACTAAATGCCCACCAGACCAATTTTGGCTTATGTGGAGTACATTTGGCAGGTAATTTTAAAGCGAAATCGGTCCATCGGACCGATTTTGACACTGGACCAAATATTTCCTGACTGACCTATATCTTAATATACTGTATCTTTTGATCTGGATGCGTTAACTCCTACTGTTTATGGAGACCCCATTGGCACCGAAAACAGTTCCTCATTAATAGTATTAAGTGCACATATCCACTGCAGTAGTGCTCAGGGCACTACAGAAGGACGGAACCAAAAATTATTGTGAACCTTAATACTACCGGAAAGAAACACCTCACACATCAATGCACCGTTTACAGGCAATTTGAGGCACATGACCGGCCTATTCATAACTCAAAGGTGCCCATGGAATGGGGGTATCTAACAACAGTATACAAACTGCTCAATAAGAAGGGTAGGGGCTACAATAATGTAGTAATCAGATCCCTAACACTTGGACCTGCAGTATTTGCTGCGAAGCAGTCAATTCATATTCTTGACAGCAATTTGACCTCTGAAAGGTCATTGTTTGTCAAAAAACAGGCGCCTAAGACTACTGAAAGGCGGAGTTTCCTTCTTTCGCTCTGCCGGGTAAAATCAATTACTTTAGGCGACGTTTGTAGACTAACCTACTCGTACCAACGTCCGCATGTCGCGCTAGCCAGGCCTAGACTAGCTAGGATGTTATAGGCCTAGTCTTGAAGGGACGAAGGTCCCAATGAAAAACAACGTCGCTCCTTGATAGCTAACATTGTCTATTTAACATCACAATAATTCATTATTAGACCTATAGTTGTTTTTTGAATTGTACTCCACAAATCTCAGCCGATACCTCGCACAACGTCTTCTATCTATTGTCGTCACGTCATGGCTCGCTGGCTCACACTTGCGATGTCTCGCACTTGTGAACAAATAACACGCTGGCTCGCACTTTGGCAACACTCTTTGGCAGTCAACTCGCCCCTAGAAAACCCGCCCTTGGAAACTTGCCCCATAAAAAAATGCACACTTCCTAGACCATGCAGTCTTCAAAATAAAAATTGTAACCTTTGGTAATTAACACATTTTCCACATACATAGACATTTTTGAAACTTTATTAAAAAAAACCTAAACCATAATTCACCACTATATAGACACT